AACAAAATAATTTATCCTTTAAAATAGGGTATTTTTGTCTTTTTTTCCTTTTGATGAGTGAGAGTTTCTTACAATGTAATTTTAAGGTGTTTTCCTCATTTTTAGAGGACAGACCTACAAATATGGGGGTAAGAACTGTTGGAACTTAAATATTTTAATAAAAAATAAAGTAATATATTTTATAAATTGAATTTATTGTCCCATTAAATACTTAGTCAAACTAGCTGTTGGTGGTTAATTGTTCTATTTAAAGGCACATTATGTCATAATAATTGCCTAATTTATTCTTACCATTAACCTATAAATGAGAGTTACAAGACCATGAGTCATATAAATAGGACATGTCTTTTGCTCAAAAAATGGGTTTTTTACACATTCCCCTATTCTTTCTTACCTCACTTTATTTTCTAAATATTTTTGGGTAAAGAATGGTGTTTTGAGTAAGGTGACTCTATGGGTAGTGTAGATCCATAAAGTGTTATTATAAAGCTGTAGTATCCTAGGGGCAACATGCTTTATGTATCTCTGTTGCATCGGTTAATTTACTCTCCGCAGAGGCATGAATCACCTTAAAGTAAGTAAGCTTTTCACATCTATTTAGATGATATTTTCTTATCAATATTTCTTGATAAGTTCATTAATTATTATTTTATTTGATCTTGTGACCGAGGCACAACAATGACATGATGTGGAGATGGAGAAAAGTGTTCGAGGAACAACAATTTTAAGGCGATTCAATATGCAAAGCAACATTGAAACATATGCCAAATTGTGTAAGCAAAATATTATTTGTTAAGTGCCTCAAAATAGGTATGTTTCCTAGATATTAATAATACTTGAGAGATATTGAGATCACAAATGGGTATGTATACATTTGACCATGCTTTGATTTACCAAATATTCTAAGTTCTCTTACATGTAAACACCTATTAGAGTATGTGGCCAAGTTTCTGTAGTGGCCAAATTATTTGTGATTCTCAACTTGATTGCTTACATGTATGATTGTTATGTTTTATTATGTGATCTTTTGGTTAAATACATTGTAGCCTTTGATTACACTATGGCTTGACTAAACCATA